TGATAACAGGGCACTGAACCCTCGAAGAGCTCCAAGGACGAAATAAAGGAGGAAGATGTTGCAGATTCGCTAACATGACGCTAAGGCACACCAGGCCAGAAGCGAATAGGCACAGGAGGGACAAAGGGTGCTGGCAGAGCAGCAAGCTCCTGGGAGAAGCCCAAATGGGGGAGACCCAGTGACCAGCAGCAGTTTTGAGTCCACAGCACATGGCTGTCCACAGGTGCAGGCTGGCCCCACGGGACAGTGGAGGCTAGGAAGTGACATTTCAGTCTTCTGGATCTGTCCAAAGGTGCTAGTGACCCTTTTCCTGGCCAGCTGGTGTTTTCTTCACATACATCAAATGTACATTTCCAGTGTCACCCCAGATCTTGCTGCCTTGGTGATAAGCTCCTTGTGAGTTTTGTTTCAGCTTGGTGCGGGGGTCTTTGGTTTGTTTTTTACTGTGGGGAGATAGGCAGAAGCACTGTCTCTGTTTTTTGGTCCTTTTTTTTGTATTTAGTACAGGGTCTACCAGGTCTCACTAAGTAGATCAGACTCATAGTGAACCTCCAGTGTTCAGCCTCCCAAGCGCTGGGATTACAGGCACGTGCCACCCCGCCCAGTCTCATTCACAGTCTCAGTGTGCCCTGAGCAAGGGGCTGGCAAGGCCCCTGCTGTCTGCCTAAGCTTTAGTCCGCAGAGCTATCTGGCTGGCCCTCTTCTTTTTTTGTCTTTTTCAGACAGGGTCTCGCTATGCAGTTCAGGCTAGCCTTGAACTCACTTTGTTTTTCTTTTTCTTTTTTTTTCCCTAAAATTTATGTGTTTTCGTTGTTGTTCTGGACACAGGGTCTCATTACGCTTTGGACGCGTAGTGATCCTCCTGTCTCAGTCTCCCCAGCGTTGGGATGACAGGTGTGCCCCACCATGCCTGGTTTGGGGGCCAGCAAGGTATGCAGAACCGGGGATCAAACTTGGGACCTTGTGCTTGCCAGGCAGGTACTGAGACTGCCGAGCTAGCTCCCCAGCCCTTGAGCTCACTTTGTAGCCCAGGCTGGTCTTGAACTTGCAACAATCCTCCTACCTCAGCCTCCCAAGTGCTGGGACTGCAGGTCTGCACCACCACACTCAGTCACTCTCCATGTTGCCCAGGCTGATCTAGCACTTCTGGGCTCAAGAAATCTTTCTGCCTCAGCTTCCCCTTGCCTGGGATTGCAAGAACACACCACCATATCCAGCCTTTTTAACTTAAAACTGTAACTCTTATAACACAAACTTTTGTTATTCTAAGTAGACAAGAAAATAATACAGTGGTGGTTCATCAAAAAAAGAATTCACACAAGTTAAGAGATCAAAGCTCTAACTGAAGCTTTTTTTTTTTTAATTAAGCTAAAAAATTGTTAAGCTTCTTTGCTTAAGACAGCCTTACTATGTTGCTCAGGCTGGCCTGGAGTTAAAGATCTTTCTGACTTAGCCTCCTGAGAGCTGGGATTATAATTTGCACCACCACGCCTGGCTCTGGAGTTGACTTAGCTCATTCATCTGCCATTGACTCCATGAATTGTCAACCTAGAAATTTGCTTGTCCCTCTTGTACCTCATGAATTCCCTCCTCAAACAGCAAATGAATTCCACTTTAAAACTTTCTTTAAACTTAACTTTAAGCAAGAGTCAGCCTCGCCCCAGATGAGATAATTCAGTCAGAGACCTTCATTAATGTGGGCTTAGTTGGGGAAATTATTTAAGTCTTTGGATCACGTCAATGCTAAACAATGACTTTGTTTTTGAAAACTTCTGAGCTAATTACGTTTCAAGTGTTCCTGGACTAACGAAGGGCACCACTGGGGTGTGCCTTCAAGCAGCTGAGCAGACCACTCCGGCATTCCTTAGAAGTAAGATAGAGTCCAGCAGTTTACATCATAGCAACAGTTGATAAGAAAAACAGCGAAAAGGTAATCATTTCCATATGGAAAGAAAAGGAGGAAACCAGTGAAGCTATGAACTGTCATTTTTCCATATAAAAATAAAAGCCACTACTAGTGGATTTGGCAGAAAAGGCAAATGTTCTATTTCTTTCCATCTTACATTTGTTAATATATTGCATGTGATACGCTTTATTGAAAGACATTGTTCCCCTCAAACCTAGCTGCCAACTTCCACACACATTTTGTCCTCCTGAGTGAAAGACATATTGGTGTTTGCTAATTTCATCTAGCATTCTACTGCCTTAGTGATAATTTTCTCAATTTAGTGAAAAATGTGAGCACTTTTACCCCCATTACAACAAAGCACACAACTATCTCCCAAGCCAGTTAAACGTCTAGATATAATTTTTTTTTTTTTGAGACCCAGGCTGGCCTTGAACTCACAGCAATCCTCGTGTCTCAGCCTCCTGAGTGCTGGGATTACAGGTGTGCACCACCACATCTGGTGTATAAGTATTTTTTTTGGGGGTAGCGCAGATTAAACTCTGGACCTTGCACTTGCCAGGCAATCTCCCCGGCCCCTGTACGTTATTTTTAATGTATTTGGTTATTACAGGATGTCACTATGCAGCTCAGACTCACAGTGATCCTCGTTTTCAGCTTCCTCAGTGCTGGGATCACAGGTATGCACCACTATGCCTGGACTCTGGCCAGCTCAGTGTGCCCTGGGGGGCGAAGCTGGCACTGCATGTGGTGCTGGGGATTGGACCATGGTCCATGCGCTTGCCTAAGCTTGCTTAACGAGGTGCTTCAGTCTGCTGAGATATCTCACCTCAGCCTCAGTAATTTTATTTTATTTTAATTTTTTTATTGGTGGAACTGGGGATTGAACTCAGGCCTTTGTGTTTGCCATGCAAACGCTTATTCTACTAAGCCATCTCCCCAGCCTCACCCCCAATAATTTTAAAGCAATCCAAATAAAAATCTCACATAATTTTTTTTTGTGTGTGTGTGTGGCTGGCTCAGCCTGCCCTGGGGGTGTGGCTGGCACAGCATGTGGTGCCTAGGATCAAACTGTGGTCCCTGCGCTTTGCCTAAGCTTGCCTAAGTAGGCACTTTAGACCACTGATCTATCTCACTAGCCCTCACATAATTTTTTCATGCCCAGAAAACCTTATTATTCAGGACTAGGGATTAGGTCCAGGGTCTTTGCACTGAGCTACATATATCCACAACCTTTTAAAATTTATTTTGGAGCCAGGCATGGTGGCGCATGTCTATAATCCCAGCACTTGAGAAGCTGAGGCAGGATTTTTTTTTCCTCACTGGAACCGGGGACTGAACTCAGACCCTTGCACTTGCCAGGCAAGTGCTTATTCTATTGAGCCATCTCCCTGGCCCCCCCGAGGCAGGAATGTTGCAAGTTCAAAGCAAGCCTGGGCTACAAAGTGAGCTCAGGGTCAGCTTGAACTGCATTTCAAGACCCTGTCTCAAAGAAAAAAAAAAAAAGAAAAGAAAAGAAAAAAAAAATTGGGGGCAGGGTCTTGCCAAGTGTCCAGAATGAGCTCCAGTTTGAGATCTTTCTGCCTCAGCCTCCTAGAATGATGGCATCACAGGTATGCATTACTATGCCCACTTCTGCAAGTTATTAAAAAGCAAAACAAAGTATGCATTTACTCATAAAAAGCAAAACAAAGTATGCATTTACTCATCCACTTTTGGATTTAAGGATGATACACATTGTCAAACCCCAGTATTTATTTTTTCGTTCATTCTATGTGGGAAATTAAATCTTAGGGCCTGAAGCATGACAAGCAAGTGCCCGACCACTACAGCCCTGCCCTGATTTTGTTTCTTCGGCTGGATTGTGTGACTGCCTGCAGAGCGGGCACCTCTACCGTGTCGCCCCAGCTGGCCTGGAGCGCCTGAGTTCAAGAGCTGCTCCCCCTTTAAGACAGCTAGAGCTGCAGGGGAAGACTGCTGTGCCTGTGCCTAGCCTGAGATTTCTCTAAACGAACACGTTGAGACTGAAATCTCACTCATACAGAAAATTCAAACGACACGTTCATGCTGTAGCATTTGCCAACATCTCCCTCTTGTGGCCCAAAGCACTCATTTAAAACATGAATATGTTTAAGTGTGCAGAATTGCAAATTCTTAGCTTAGAATTGTGCTGAGAAAGTTTAGTGAATCGCTTGTGTAGAAAAGAGGGAAGCTTAAGGAATAGAAGATCCCTTTTCTTGGATACCTCCAGAGTCCAACATCTGAGCAGTTCTCTGAACCTTGGGGTGGTGGCACACCCCTGTAATTCCAGCCATGGAGGCTGAGGCAGGAGGATCAGGAGGCCAGTTCATAGTTCCAGACCATCATGAGTAACAAGGTAAGATCCTATCTCTACAAAACAAAGGTCTCTCTGTTTTTCCCTTTTTTTTTTTTTTTGGTGGTACCAGAGATCAAATTCAGGACCTTGTGCTTGCCAGGCAAGCACTTATTCCATTGAGCTATATCCCAGGCCTATTTTGACTTTTTTCTTTGAGACAGAGTTGCACTATGTCGCCCAGGATAGCCTTGAACTCACAGTGATGCTCCTGCTTTGGCTCCCTAGTGCTGGGATTACAGATGTTCACAACTTTTTTTTTTTCCTGAGACAGGGTCTATGTAGTTGAGGCTGGCCTTGAACTCAAGGCAATCCTCCTGCCTTGGTCTCCCTAATGCTGGAATTACATGTGTGAAGTACCACACTCGGCAGCATTATACTTTGTTACTTTTACAGAACCAATTTGAAAGAAAGTACTATTATAAATATCTTTTAATTATTATTAAAAATATTTTCTTTTTTTGGGGTACCTGGAATCAAACTCAGTCTCGTGCTTGCCAAGCAGGTGCTGTGCTGCTGAGCTATCTCTCTGGCTT